CGCCGGGGGGGGGGGGGGGGCTTGTAAAAACAAATATAACCCGTGGGTTATATTCGCTATATTATAGTATTCTTCCCAAATCTGGCCACAAATGAAGCCCCAACAATCCTGCAACACCACTCACATCATGTCTGCCCACGAAAGCTCATCACCTAATAAACCATCTTGTTAGTCTTTAAAGTGCTGCATAGTCCTGTGTTCTGTTTCAGCTAGACCAGACTAACACGGCTACATCTCTATTACTGTCAGATCTTATCTAACTGCTATGACCAGCAATGAAATAATCAACTGTGACATATACTTAGTAATTCCTTGATGTGAACAGGGAAGTTTGCACATCTTTAAATTGTTTCATGGCATCTGCAAACCTGAACAGATGACACACTACCAGCTTAGATTCTGTTCATAATTTAAAAATGTATCTTCTCAATAACGAGGTGAGAGAACATTTCTTTGTAAAATGAACCTTAGATTTTTTTTAAAACAAGCATATATAAAAAAATATTTAATACCAATCAGTTTATGTCACACTTGCACATTAAATACTGTATTTCAGGCAAATACGTGCTTTCTAATCTGCAACTAAATACATAAAAGATGAATAGTACGCAAATATTTGAAAGAACTCTTTTTAGCACTGTGTTTTTCATTACTGTTCAAATGTACTCACCATGTTTCTACTATTGATATCTCCTAAATAAACCACAGCATTCATCTGAGAAGCCCATGTCTGAATTTCTCTTTGCCAAGATGTCAAAGTAGAAAGTGGCACTACCAGCAAGAAAGGTCCATATAACTGATGTTCATGAAACAGGTAGTTCAGAAAAGAAATAGTTTGTATTGTTTTACCCAGACCCATTTCATCTGCAAGAATACAACTGTTCCCTCTGTAAAATGAAAGAAGAATAAAAACGTTTATACAGTACAGGGGTGGCAAACCCATTAGAGACGAAGAGCCAAAACAGCAGTGGATAGAGTGCAAAGAGCCATGTACCGGGGGAGAAGGGAAGGGAAAGGGAGTTGTTGGAAACTTGTCCCAGGGCATACCATCACAAAAAAAAGCACTGGGAAGGGGTGAGAGGTGCAAGGTCTGGGAGGGAATTTGGGTGCAGGAGGAAGTAGAGAAGAGGATGCTGGCTCAGGGAGGGGGGCACCAGGCTGGAGAATGTTGGGGTCAGGGGGAGGATTGGGGTGCTGCGCAAGCTGCAGGCTTGTGGCTGTGAGAGTGCAGGAGTTTGGGCTGGGGTACATGAGGGGTTCAGGACAGGGAGGCTGGAGCACGATGGGCTCAGTACACAGATTTGCAGTGTGTGGATGGTGCAGGAGTTTTGTGGCTGAAGACTGGAGATGTGGAGGTGCAGGCGTTTGGGGATGTGAGAGGCTCAGGACAAAGGGTTCCAGCGTATGAGAGGCTCAGGTTTAGACTCTGGGGGAGTGCAAGAGTGTTATGATGCTGCGGCCAGATGGGGGCTTGGCCCCAATTGGCCAGGCTTCATTTTTAAATAAAATATTATGTCAAACACAAAATGCTTCAGCGTTATCTTTATTTATGAGAAGGGCGGGGAACCTTTTTTGAGTCAGGAGTCACTGATCCACACAAAAGTCAGCCAGGGCCACACAAGTGAGATGCAAAAAACCAACCCCTCCAAAACCCCCCAAGCCTCACTAATGTGGCCCCAACTGTGCTGGTGGGGGCAGGGGACAGAATGTGGGGGCAGGGGACAAGGTGCCGGGGCAGGGGGCCAATGTGTGCCAGTGAATGCTGGGGCAGGGTACTTGTGGGGGTCTGGGTGGGGGGGAGGAGACAGGGACCAATACCTGGGGATCCTGCAGCTGCGCACCAAGGCCCAGGAAGTGTGCGGCTGCTCCCCCAACCCCCAAACAGCGGCGCGGTACCTGAAATGCTGGTCCGTTGAATGCCTGATGCCTTCCTGCATGGAGGAGGGAGGGAGAGTCCTGGACTGCGCCAGTAACAAATGCTCAGGTAGCTAGTGCCTTGCCCCTCCACTCCCCACGGCAGCACGCACTTATTGAGCAGCTGGAGCCTTCACTCTCCCCTGCTGCCTTCCTTTCATTCTTCCCTGCTGCCTTCCTGCATGCAGGGGAAGGGGGGGGAGGAGGAAGTCCTGGACCGCACCAGCTCCAACTATTCAGACACGCGTGCTGCCGTGGGACTATCCAGGACTCTCCTGCCCTCCCTGCGCGGGGGAAGGCAACAGGGGAATGAAGTCCCCAGTGCACCGGCTCCAGCTGCTCAAGCAGTGCGTGCCTTGCTCCTCCACATCCCATGGTGTCACATGACACAGGAGGAGCCGGAGCCAGCGTGATCCCAGACCCTCACCCCCCTCCTCCACATGCAGGAAGGCAGCAGGGGAACAAAGTCCGCAGTGCACGATGGACCGGCATTTTAGGTACCGCGCTGGCTGTTGGGAGGGGTGGTAAAGAGCAGCCCATGCACTTCCAGGACCTGGCGTGAGCTGCAGAATTTCCTCCCACCCCACAGGAAGCCCGTGCTTCCTCCATTGTCCCTGGAGGTAGTATCAGCGAGGCGTTCATCTTGGGGGCAGTGCCGGTGAGCACAGGGGAACCAGGGGCCGTTGGGGGCGGGGGGCGCGCACAAGGGTGGCTTCGAGCCACTGGCTGCCCACCCAGATATAGTATCATACTGCTAATCACCAAGATAAAAAATTAGATTCTTTTAAGCATTTGTTAAACAGAAATTCAATGATATTTTGCATGATTTCTCAAATTAACTCACAGATTATTAGGACCATTGCTTACAACTGTATATTCAGAAATAAAACAAACAATGTTTTCATACAATCAATTCAGAAAAAAATGGTAAACTGTTTTGTAGTGTTTGTTCTCTGAGATGGGTTGCACATGTCCATTCCACTGTAGGTGTCTGTGTGCTCCAGTACACTTGTCAGAATTTTTCATTTAGTGGTACCCAACAGGGCAGCACTCATCAGGACAGTACAAGTGCCCTCTGCTGCCTCATGCACTCATCAGGGCAGTACAAGTGCCCTCTGCTGCCTCATGCACAGCATAAAGGACCATGCTACCCAAAACCGCCCTAACTCCCTCTTAGCGAATGATTCCAACAGAGATGGGAAAAAGATCAAATCATGGAATGGACATGTGCAACACACCTTGAAGAGTAACAGTTATGAATAAGTGAGCATTCATTTTTCCTTTGAGTGACTGCACATGTCTATTCCATGTAGGTGACTACCAAGCAGGCCCAAGGAGGTGATTTCAGAGTCTATTTGAACTGGGACTGGAAACCCACTCATTCAAATTTAGCATCATCTCTAGATTACAGAGACAGAGATAGCAAGAGGCAAACATGTTACATGATGATCAGGTTACCACTCTGCAAATGTCGAACATGGGCACACTAGCCAAAAAAGCCACAGAGATTTCTCGGAACCTTAGTTGAATGAACCATCACACTACTTGGTGGCTTCACATTAGCGAACTGTTTGGACATAAGAATGCCCTTCATTTAGTCCACAACAGTAGGGAAGAACCTTAAGGGAGCAGATCTGACCAGTTTAGTCCACTGCTGTTAAAATGCTAAAGCTCTTCTATTATTGAGACAGATAAGACTCCTAAATTGTCAGTGACAGCAGCACCGAGAGGTTCAACAACTCTCTCTCAGCTTCAAATATCTCCGGGGTTCTGGGAAAGCACTCTTCAGTACTGAGGAGTAAGCTGATCCCAATGATCATGGTTAGAGAGACAAACTCAACAGCCTCATACTGGGCTCTTCAGTCAATGAATTCCCCTGATTAGAGTCCTTAGCACCCTCTCAAGTCCTTACATAACCTCAACCTCTTTACTTACTTTGAAGATTCTGGTACTATGTCCAATTTATAGTGCCTTTTCCTTAGGAATAGTAATTGTATTCTAACTCTCAGTGCTGGTAACGCCAGAGGTGCACCACTGACTAATGCTGAGCTGTCTAGTACCTGGATTCAGGTAGATGGTTGATACGGAAATCACAGCACCAATTCCAGCAGTAGATTTCAATCTAGTTGCAGGTTGTTTTTGAAGTGGGGCTTAAAGCCTTTATAATCAGCACATTTGTCACTCAAATGAGCCTTTCCAAGTGATTAAAACAGCTGGGATCAGGGTCACTGTTAGATACTGCCCTATCACAACAGTGGCAAGCTTGAAATCCAGAGAGCACAACATATATCCGGTACCAGTATCCAGTCAGAGTGCCGAATACATACAAATTCACTTAAAAAAATAATTTCTTATTCAAATAACTATACTAACAATCCAGGACTACAATAGATACTATTAACATATCTGACTTCAGATTTGAGGAAGGAAAAGGATCTCCAGTAACTATCATGGGCAGTGGGAAGTAACTGAAGGAGCAGGGTGGGGGATCAAGGACAGTTCATTTCTTTATGCCTGAACATGATGCACAAGATATCAGAGGGCACTGGTGCTGCCCCAGTGGGTACCACTAAGGAAAAGCCCTCTGTCCATGCACACCAGAGCACAGACACTTACACAGGAATAGACAGAGCATCATTTCAAAAGAATCTTAATTATTGTCACTGCTACAATTTGAAAATTCTTCATTAATCAAATGGTAAAGAGGGACAATGTAAATTTTGGTCTAGATATAGCTGCTAATGGCTCTTTTCCATGAATTTTAAAAATAACATTCAATGTGTGATATTTGAGGATAATTTAGCTTATTTTCTATTTCACCTACAAGCATTTTCTATTTCACCTACAAGCATTCCCCCATATTTGAGGGAAAAAGGAAACCAATGGAGAAGTCTTGCTTGTACAAATCAACTGGACTTTACATTTTACTACTCCAATGACAAAATAATCCATTCTGCCAGTTTTATGAATTTCTACTATTTACAAGTAATAAAATAACATCAGACTTTCAGATCGTACTTACTTGCACCAGGAGTGAGCAAGCCAGTTTAGTCCATTTAACTGGTAGTCTCTTAATTCTAAACCCTCATGACCACCAATATATGATGGTTGCTTCTTCAGTGCAACAAATCTCGGCCTCTGTTTTAAAACCTATCAAAGTGAAATTGAAATTAGCCCTACTACTGAAAGTTTTCAGATTCTAAACATAATTTTACTGATGTTGCAACAACAACAAAAAAATAAAATAAAAAAAGGAATAAATTTAAATTACTAGATTAACTTCTAAAAGTTAACATAATTCCATGTTTGAATGAAAATAACTACAATGGGGATATTTACCTACTATGAGCTAATAAGTTATACACCTCAACAGGTAACCCAAGCAATTTGAAAAACTTTATGTAACATCCATAATCCTGAGAACAATACAACCCAATACAAATATTTTTGTCGTCTCAATTCTCAGGCATCTATGAAATTATCTTAAATTTCACTTACCTTGCAATCCTTAAAAGGAGTAGTCTTGGATTGATTTCTGCTAAAATACTCATCAATGCATGGCTGAAATTTTTTGGCAATGAGAGCACCATCTTCCCAGCTGCACTCTGAGTAAGGGAGACCTTGCCACTTGCAATAATAATCTGGATAACCTGCAGCTGACTTCTGATTTGAATGAGCTGAAGAATACATTTGAGATGATACTTCATCATTAAAGTCAAAATTATTGTGTTATTTCATTTCTGTGACACAAACCAGTGACAGAGTGCTCAGAATTAAAGAACACACAATTAACCTGCATCTTAATTTACGTGCACATTATTTTACTTTCAATCTAAAATAACTATGAATTCCAATAAATGCATTATCCACAAATATAAAATTTGGAGAACTGGTTTGATTTAAACAAGATGAAATTCAGTAAGGTAATTTCAAAGTACCTCATTTAGGAATTAAAAATCAAATGGACAACTGCAAAATGGGGAATAAATGTCTAGAATGTTCTGTTATTGACAAGAACCTGGTAGGGGTGAGGGGCTTAGTGAATCACAAATTGAATACAGGTCAACAATACGATGAAATTGCAAAAAGGCTAATATTCTGGGATGTATTAACAGGAATGTCAGATAGATGACATGGGCAATAACTGTTTCAGACTACTCAGTGACGCCTCAGCTTGAATACTTTCTCCAATTCTGGCTTCCATACTTAATGAAAGATGGGGACACACTGGAAAGAGTAAAGAGAAAAGCAACAAAAATTATAAAAAGATTTAGAAAACCTAACTCTGGAGGAAAGGCCAAAACAACAAGGCATACTCAATCTTGAGAAAAAAGAATGTGGAGAGACTTGATTTAAAGCCTTATGAGGCTTTAAATACATTATAGGTGGTTATAAAAAGAACAGTAATTAGTTGTTCTCTGTGTCCACTGAAGGTAAAAGAAGAAGTAATGGGCTTAATCTACATTAAGGAGGGTTTAGGGTAGATATTATGAAAAACATATTAACTACAAGGATAATAAAGCTCTGGAATATGTTTCCAAGGGGAGCTGTGGAATCTCCATCATACAGGTTGGACACACACCTGGGACAGTCTAGGTTTACTTGGTTCTACCACAGCATAGCGGGTGGACTTGATGACTTCTTGAAGTCCCTATGAATCCTAAATTTTTAAGAGTCCATAAAAATAGAAACAATGACAGTATATTGACCATATTGTTATTTCCAGTCTCCAAATTGTCACTTACCAATTATTCTCTCCACTATTTGATATTGTTTATGCAGATCATCAGTAAGTTCTTGCTGGCAGTTATAATACTCCACATCTTCTGGAGAAGCATTTTTCAGCCTGGAACAGAAATTATGTACTCATCACACTGTTTAATTCTAAAATTAAGACAAGTTGACAAACCTAAAGCACCCAAGGAAACTGCAGGAAAAGCTTCTTTGAGAAAGGAACTAAGGGAATCTCAATGGAGAAAAAACACCTGCTACATAAATTCCTCATCTGAATTAGGTGCTCTCCTGCTGGGCAGCTGAGGAAATTTACTGAGAGACTGTACTAATGGCAGCTAAACCTGATAAAAATAATTAATGTAGGTATAATACAGAATGTTCATTCCCAACACTTCTTACTTCGTAGGACACTTTCTTCACTTCATGAGAACAACAAAGAAGATTAAGTTTACAGAAATCCATTTCAATCATTCCTAATAGTAAATGGACAAGAACCACCACTTTTCATACATGACATTGAATAACTCACTGGAAACAAGAGAGCATCAAAAGAAGGCAATGGAAGATAAGGATTTTCTCCAACATTTCATTCAGGACTTTGAACAACTAGCGATGTTAAAATACGTGTAACTGTGTAATCATGTAACTTCTGAAAAGTTCAGCAGTTACATGGTTACACGTGGGGCAGCAGCCAGCTTCCTGGGAGCCAGTGCACACTGGGAGGCATAGAGTTCCAGCTCCCACCTACCACCCCAGTCTCAGGGAACCAGCTGCTGGCCTGCTCTGCTGGCTCCCTCCACGAGCCAAACTGGGAGCTGCATGCAACTGCTAGAGTAACTGATAAGCAGAAGCTTTAAATGGTTATACAGTACTCTTATGTCCCTACTAACAACACTGACAGAGTGTACTTTTTGATCCCAGACAATGGGCAGAAAAATGAGACAGCAGAACTGGAAAGCCTAAAAAAGTGAATGGAATTTAGGTAAATTTCTCAGACAAAAGATTTAAGTGGAGAACGTACAGAACAATTCTGCTTAAAGAACAATGATCAACAAAAGCAAATGGCAGGCCATCATTTATACTATGTGCATTATAAACATTTAAGAAAAATAATTTCCAAGAAGATTTAGCTGTTTATTAAAGACATAATCCCACAATATGCTGCACCTCACCCTTCACTCAATGGAATGAAGTTGAGGATGCTGTATACCTCTTAGAACCTTAAAATGTTCAAGTGATTTTAACAATAAAAAAAACCATGTGTTATTCTCTTTCTGAACATACGCTATGAAAACGTTCTCATATGGAGATCAATCCCATTACACTTGCTGGTAAAAAAACAAACAAACCTGAATTATAATAGATGGCAATAGATAACACTCACCATCGTTTTGTTTCCTGATCCTTTTTCTTGTAGTTGTCCAGTTTCTTCATTCCTTTAACATTCTGCTGCTTCAAGGTTTCTTCAGTCTCCCATGTGTTATGGATATGGGACCAGCCTTTCCACTTAATCAGATACTGTATTTCTCCAGGCTCCTTTGATTTATCAAATCCTGTGTTTGGATCACCATCTGCCTCAACTGCATAGATGGTGGTGGTAGCACCAGTGGCTGAGAGCAAATCACAATATAAATTGTAATAGAATATATGTACCGGTGAATCACCTAACAATGAATGTGATATTAATATAATTCAATTGGTAATTTTTTATAATATGGGCATTTATCAACACATGGCTAACTACTTTTGTTATTCTCTTCTGCTTAGTGTTACTTACATAAATTATTCTGTAAAAGTGTATGCCAGTCAATAAGAGTTTCAAAAATTTGATTTAATAAGACAATTTAGCCAATAAAACTGTGCATCTGAATTAAGTGAAGCTGAAAGAAGGATGATGAAAGAAGGGGCAGACATCTACCTTACAAATACCTAAATTAAACTGATAGAAGAGAATGAACAAACCTGTCAGGATATCTCACGTCAAAGAATACCATCCCACCACTCAAAGGGTTTTTCTGGGGGCATTAGTTGTAAGAGGGAGCAATTTCCATAACCAATCTATTGTGAGCTATCACAATTCCAGCAAATCTACTCTCCTAGATATTCTGGGATTCAGAAGCTGACGTTCTACCAATGCCCACTTATCTATCCTGACTTTTTGTTGTACAACTACAATGCAATCACATGTGTGTGATTGCAGCTCAGATAAAAAACACCCATGTTAACTCTAATCTAGCAAACAAGGCTAAAAAGTGTAGTGAAGATGTGATGTGAGCATCAGCTTGGCTGTACATGCCAGCACAGGACCTGGGTACATACTTGCAATGATCACACAACCATTTACACACAACTTACTCTGAGAAATATAAACCACGTTGTAGTTCTCTACCATAAGAATCTCTACCAGCATAGTGTCAGAGTAGTTAGAAATTGGTGGCATGATAGTCCTACTGCCATCAATAACATACCACTGCTCACTGATTAAGGATCCTATTTAGTCAACTTTCTGCTTTCTACTAAATAGGGGTTATGTTTATAGGAAGCTATTCAGTTGTACATACAGATCAGCACTGGGATTTATTTGCATGACATTGAACTAGCTTCCACTTCCTTCCTCAGCAGCTGTCCTCTAATTCTGTTCCCATTACTTGACCATGGAAGCTTCCCAATATTCTTCAAGGCTTATTTAAAAGGCACTATCCATTTTAAAACATTTTCTGTTTTAAGCTTTTAACCTAACATCGTTATATGTAAAACCTAAAGTTGCTCATAACTAAAAGCACAGAAAATTCCACTTGTATACTCTATGCATTTATCATATTGTGTGTTACTGTTTCTCTTATATAGTCCGTCTGGTGATTTCTCACACACCAATAGAGGGGGATAAAGTTTTTTAAAAGTCAAAAGTATTATTGTTAAAAAACACACATTGACAATGGGACTCAGGGACATGACTTCAATAAGCAAAGGATTTCACCTCTAATGCAAGTGCAGTTTTCACCAGTGCAGCAAAACCTGCACCCAGGTAAGCAGTTCCTGAGACAGAGCCCTGTTTTCTGGAAGTTTCATAGTTTGGGATATCAAGGCTATAGACTTCCACCAGCACAGCCATGTTGCAGAGGTGTGGTTTGTGACCAATATAGCTGTGCTGGCAAAAGCCCCTAGATCAGACGCAATTATACCAGCAAAACTGAATGTATTTTGCTTTAAAATTGTGGGGCTGAAGGACTAGAATAATCAATGCTTGCAAGAGCAGTGTGCTAGCAAAGCACTTCTAGCATAGATTTGGGCAAAACCAAGGCTGTACAGATCTCCACAGAATATACTCTGCAGAGGATAAAGTGCCCTAAAATGAACCTTTTCTAATTTAGTTTTATTATTTCCAAACACACTTGATAAGCAAAATACAGTAGTTCATTGATAATAGTTTCACTTTAACAGAAAGAGACATTAACGGTGAGGCTACCAAAATTTGCCTCACTGATACTAGGGCTGTAAAATCCTAATTAATCAGTTAACCTGTTAAGCATTAGGTTAACCTAACATTTAACCAGGTAACTGATTAAGTAGGGATCCAGTCTTGGAGCTGGGGCTGGGGCTGCCGCTGCCACCATGGACAGCAGACTCCCAGCTCTGCTCCCAAGGCCAGCAACAGAAGACTCTCAAGTCCCAGTCCTGGGCAGGGCAGCTGCTGCTGTCAGCAGCAGCAGGACACTCTGCCAGCAGCAGCAGGATGCTCCCAGCCTGGGACTGGAGCTTCTGATGGCTCCTGGCATCACCGGGGCAGCCCTCCGCCCGCAGCAGGCCATGGGTCAGGGGGCTGCTCCTACGCACTGGTTAATCGGTACCCAGTAAGCATCACCCAGGAATGGTGATATATATGTACGGGTATATTAATAATTTAAATAATTTATAAAAGAGTACACATAACAATTTGAGGGGACAGCAGCAGAGGTGAATTTCTGGTGTTGATCAAGGTTAATCACTACATATATACACTTGTGTATTCCCTTTCCAAACAGCCTGTCAAATCTAATTAAGATCTTATGAAGTTATGAAACTTAATTTTTCCAAATCCTTAATGCTCTACCATTAAGGAGAAATCATTCATAATGTGCTTTAAATAGAATGTACATTTAAAATTATTTTGGGGGAAGAGGAGAAAGTTAAATGCACACTATACAGGCAGTCCCCGGGTTACGTACAAGATAGGGACTGTAGGTTTGTTCTTAAGTTGAATTTGTATGTAAGTCGGAACTGGTACATATTGTAGGGGAAACTCTAGCCAAACATTTCTCCAGAGCTCAGTTTTATTCTCCCACACCTCACTTCCCTCAGCCCTTTATTCTCAAGCTGAAGTGTCTGCTGAGAAAAGCCGCTCCACGTCTCCCTGGTCGGCTGGGAGGGGTGCTAGCTTTGCGTCTCCCTGGTCTGCTGGGGGGAAGCAGCTAGTGCGGGGTTGCCTCACCCCGTTTGTAAGTAGGGATCCGATGTAAGTCAGATCCATGTAACCCGGGGACTGCCTGTATACTTTTGAAATGTAAAAATGTTTTTGCTTAATTGTAAGTTACAACAAACACCCTAAAAATAATTTTAAGCAATATTATTTAAGGCTCATTCTGGACAGTGCCAAACAGTTGTTTTAATTATGGCTGTGGGATAGGGCATAAATATTAAACTCTATATACTACCCTCATAATCCACATAAAATTTTCTTTAATAAAAAAAGTTTGCACAGATATACAGTTGAAAATATGTATTTTATTTAACTAAACTTTTATTAAAGTTTTAGATTTATCTATTATCTTATTGCTACATTCAGCATCACTTAGGTAAAGTATGCTTACCCCCAGGACCATCATTCTTTGTACCCTTCCCTGCTGATTCTCTCTCCCCCTTTTTTTTCTCTCTATGGCCATATCTACACTATGAAGAAGTGTTTATTTTAGCATGTGTTAATACATGGTAAAATCCTAATAAAGACAAGGTAAGTTGTGGTTTTAAAATGTTAGCTGGTTGAGGATAGTGCTAGGATTGAGTCTAGGGTTTTCTTTGACAATTAACACCCATGAAAAAGTATGTTTCTTCTTAGCTAAGACAACATTCTCTCTATGGCCATATCTACACTATGAAGAAGTGTTTATTTTAGCATGTGTTAATACATGGTAAAATCCTAATAAAGACAAGGTAAGTTGTGGTTTTAAAATGTTAGCTGGTTGAGGATAGTGCTAGGATTGAGTCTAGGGTTTTCTTTGACAATTAACACCCATGAAAAAGTATGTTTCTTCTTAGCTAAGACAACATCTGT